AGGAATATACCCTAAATCATAATATTCAACCCCTTATAATTTAAGGTATATTCCTTAATTAAGGGTATTAGGTCCTCTGGGCAGAGCCTCCAAAACACTGTCATGTCTTGCGCACTTCTTCCCCCTAAACCCCCAAGCCCTCAAGCCTAAACCTTAAACCCTACACCCTGAACCCTAAACCCTAAACCCTGAACCCAAAGCCCTAAACCCTAAACCCTAAACCCTGAACCCTAAACGCTAAAGCCATGAAGCAGAGCTTCAAGAGACCATGGGTTTCTATACCTCCGAAGAAACCCAGAGAGGTTCCCCCAAACCCAAGTCGTAAGCCTCAAACAGGCCAGAAAGCCCCAGTACAGGGAATTTCGGGTTTTAGGGACTAGGCTTTGGGGGTTTAGGGAGGATTTAGGATGTAGGAATTGGGTTTTTGGGGAGTTTGGGGTTTAGGGTTTAGGGGTTTAGAGAGTTTGGGGTTTAGGGTCTAGCATTTAGGGAGTTTGGGGTTTAGGGTTTAGGGAGTTTGGGTTTAGGGATTGGGCTTTAGGGAGTTTTGGGGGCTTAGCATGGGAGCCTGAAGTGTGTCTTGGTAGGGTTTGGGGCTTGTGGGCAGCTTCGTCTAAGACATTTTTAGGTGGGTAGTTACCGCTATCGGAGCCTTATAGAAGGTCTATATACCTTATAGAAGCCTTATAGAAGCCCTATATGCCTTTAATTGCGGACAGCTTCGGAGAGCGTGGAAGGCCTTGCACTCGCGCTCTGCTGCAGGGCTTCTGAACTCAGCAAAAAATTGGCCTTAGGGTTTAGGGTTTAGGGTTGATCATCTCAGAAATCATCACAGTCATCATCACGATCACCATCGCCATCTTGAGCGCCAGCATCACTGTCCTTAGCATCAGCAGCAGCCCTAAACCCTAAGCCCTAAACCCTAAACCCTACAGGCCCTACATCAATCCCGCCCTCGCGTTTCTGCAGATCCGCATCTACAGCACCACGCCCTGCTCTGGTTGGCGCAGCCGCGTAGATGAGCCCCTCGTCAGAAGGAGTATCGTGGAAGTCAAGGGGAGCCTATGTCCTAGGTAGTATTAGGGAGACCCCTTAAAGGGGACCCTTCTGAACCTACTTGTAGCTCTCTTAAAGGGGACCTTATTGAGAGGGTCTATATCCCCCAGGGGTCCCCCTAATCCTAACTCCCACTATGTATTCGGAGCCTATCCCCTGATCCCCAACTCCTATAGGCTGAACCTTAAACCTTAGAGCCTACACCCTAAACCCTAAATCCTAAACCCTAAATCCTAAACCCTATACCCTAAACCCTAAATCCTCCCTAAATCCTAAACCCTATACCCTAAACCCTAAATCCTCCCTAAATCCTAAACCCTTAATCCTCCCTGAATCCTAAGTCCTATACGCTAAACCCTAAACCCTAAGTCCTCGAGAAATCCTAAACCCTAAACAATCAAACCGGATCCTTCAAAGATCCCTTACTTGGAGGGTTATAAGTAGGGTAACTGTATTTATAACCCAAATTAGGGGACTTATAACCCCACTTATAACTACGCATGAACCTCCAAGTAGAGGAACCCTTGAACGAGCCCTGAGGGTCTTCGGTGGTCTTGTTGGTTACGTTCACTGCATTTCCGTCGCAGGTTTTTGTATAGTTTACATCAAAGCAACTGTATAGTAAGCATGTTTCATTTCTATATAGTAGATAGTAGAAAGTACCATACTATCGTAGCACAGCTAGAAGAGAAACACCGGTGTGAAGTATAATTGCCACTAGTTGGAGCAAAATTGGGGTATACTCAGACTGATACTCTACTCACATCAGACTTGTGTAAAGCTTACACTACAAGTCTAACAGAATAGAGACTACACAGCAGGGTTGCTTGCAAACTTGTTTTAATCGTTGACGCGCCCTTCGTGGTTTTTTGGCTTTTGCTAAATACGAGAAGGTGATGCTAGGATTAGCACCAGTGCCAACATCCGAGTGCCACCCGATAGAGCGCAACAGTAGAGGCAACAATATCAACTGCACTGAGAGTGGCCATAAAACTAGCTCTGTTGCTTTTTCCTTTTCTGACTATTTTAGCATAACGGTAATGTTCTCAAGAACAATGCTACTCGTACAGTGATGCAACAGCACAGGCAGAACAGCAGCTATCGTAAACTGAATCACAGCAAATCAGTAACATGACAAACATGTCGGCAGCGACAAATCTAGCAGAGAGTATCGTAAAGGATAACGCTGCCACTGTCGTTAAAGCAAGACTAATGCAACAACATACGCTTTCCTGATCATGGCTGTCACTAGTAGTTATCACGACTTTTCGCCTGTGAGAACTCAAGGAGCATACAGGTGATATCAGGTTGTATGACTCAGATCCGAATCGCGAGCAGCAATGATGGCAACAACAGTACCTAACCTCACGACTCCTTGTGTATCGATCCAGTGGCAGTGATGATGATCAACGGGTTGGCATCTACAACGACTACGACCATCGAGTCGCTCGTCAACTACGACATCATGATACCGGCTAAGTATGCAGCGAAGCTGACCAGTTCGCGCCTGGATACTCGACGTAGTCGGCAGCCTACAGCCCTTAACCACATCCAAGCTGCAGAATACATGGATCCCGGACAACTTGGTGTCCGAGATCGTCCTGTGACTGAGGAGGAACGGGCTGCTGTCCGACCAGCAGAACCAAAAGGGCGACCTCCAAACCGAGGCAATGCCAACCGATGGAACGATAAGGGCAACGGAGAGGGCAAGGATCAAGACCCAGCGGATCGCGAACGAGAACGAGAACATTATCGCCGATGGAAACGTGACCATATGTGGTGATCCTTATCTTGAATGCCCATTGCTCGTTCAGCTTTGAGACACCGGCGTGTACGTTGTGATTGACTATCACACTGCCGTTTTCTTCGGTGACTCTCTGATCCTGATTTGCATTTCTTTCTCGGGGGATCGTCGCTGACGTAGCGAAGTGTCACAACATTTCTAATTTGAGAATCCAAGGCTCGTACATTCATTTCGCAAAGTTGCGGCGGATGAGTCACTTATTTCTTCTGGTCACAACCGCGACTCCCTTCCGATGTGAGCAAGACTGAAGGCCTAACTCATGGGGGGTGCGAACAGACCTCTATGCCTCGTACAATTCGTTGGTGTCACGATAAGAGTTATGAGAACTACACATGATCAAGGTACCACAGGCCTGCATAGTGGACTGTGCCCTACCCACAACTCATTTACACTTCTGCGTTGCAAAGTGTACAGAGTGTATCTACTTTCAAGAGCCCCAGCTTAAACACGCAACGTGGTGGCTCAAGAAACTGCCATAAACCAATGGTTTACGACTCAGTTGTAGGCATCTGATCCTAGAGTTCGAGCCATTCCCCGCTGCGCAAATCAACGACTGAGCGCCGTCAGTGAAAGAGAGTTCAGTGCGTGTGCCTGCAAAGGGAAGAGGTGGTTAGTGACGTGGTCAACCTCTACCTCAACACTTGGCAGCCACATATCGTAGTCATTAGCTCGGTGAGGTGAGCAACCAAGACACTATCGCCAACAAGCCGTCACGCAGAATTAGTCATAGTAGTAGTAATAGACATAGAAGTAGTGATAGTGATAGTAATAGTAAAGAGCAAATGGTAAACAGTACATCGTAAATAGTATACAGCAAACGGTCAGTAGTAAATAGTAATGAGTAACTCGTAATTAGGAACTAGTAGTAAATAGTAAATTGTAATAGTAATAGTAATTTAATAGTAATAGCAGCAGTAGTAGTTGTAGTAGTGGTAGTGGTGGTAGTAGTAGTAGTAGTAGTCGTCGTAGTAGTAGTAGAAGTAGTAGTAGAAGTAGTAGTAGTAGTAGTAGTAGTAGCAGCAGCAGCAGCAGCACTAGTAATAGTAACAGTTATAGCATTAGCAATCTTCGCAATAGTAGGAGTAATAGTAATGGTATTGGCAGTGGTAATGGTATTGGCATCAGTATTCGAACTTGTATTTGTAATAATGAATAGTAGCATTAGTGACAGTAAGAATGATAGTCAACACATTAGTCATACAGCAGAATACTGTAACTCCATAGCCACCAGCTCTTCCCTGTGAGCCGTCCTTCCCTTTTCTGCTGCGCGGCTGAGGATCTGCGCGTGGCTGAAGGACGCCGCTTGTAGGGGTGTAGGGTAAAACCTAAACCCCAAACCCAAAACCCGAAAAACCAAGGGTTTAGGGTTTAGGGGTGTGAGGTTTAGGAAACCCTAAACCCGAAAACCCTCAACCCTGAAATTCTAAACCCTCTCAGGCAACACCAGGGCTTGACACCCTAAGCTTTCAACCATCTTAAAGCATGAGCCGTTTATGCCTTCGAGTTGTCGGATTTTCGATGGGGGTTTGGCGCAAAGTTTCGTACTTGAGGGCTTCGGGTCTCACGCTTCTTTTTCTTAATATAGCGGTCTGGAGCCACAACTAGATTTTAGTAGTATCATTCCTGAGGTTTCGCAATATCAATCGCCCAGACCCCGTAGTATGAGCATTAGGCCGCTAGCCAGGGAGCGCAACGCCCTTCACGAAGGAATATACCTTTTAGGGCTTGAGGACCGTAACGAAACCCATAAAAACCCTAAGCCCTAAACACTAAACCCTAAACCGCTAAACCCTAAACCCCTAAACCCTAAACCCTACACCATTAAACCCTACACCCTACACCCCTAAGCCCATAAAACCCTCAACTTTTAACCCTTCTGAGGCCCTAGAACCTCTGGCTCTTAGGAGTCTTAGGGCTTCTAAAGCCTTCTAGACCCGTATGAGCCCCCTTCTAAAGGCTACAAAGCCCTAAGAAACTCAGAAGGGTTTGGGGTTTAGGGTTTTATGGATTTCGGGGTGTAGGGGTTTAGGGTTTTTATGGGTTTCGTAACGGTCTTCAAACCCTAAAAGGTATATTCCTTCATGAAAGGCATGGGCTGCAGTGCAAAAGCACGGCAGGACCATGAGAGGCAGGTGGACGCCTTTGCCGTCTTAGACGACTCGGATCTCTCTGGCGGCGGCCTTCTCGAAGGGCGGCTTGGCTCCTCTAGCAATTCCTTTAGAGGCTCCTCAGAGGGCTGCCTTGAGAGGTTAGGGGTGTGTTTTGGGCTTAGGGGGTTTAGAGATCTGAATGAATAAGGAGGGTGTAGGGGTTGCTAGGGATGGCTTTAGGTGTCCAGGGGAATTGCGTTGAGCCTTTTCAGGTTTAGGTGTTCAGGGGTTTTGAGATTCCATTTGGGAATCGCAGCTTTTTCAGGGTTTAGGGTTGAGAGGTTCAGAGGCCTTGCAACCTTGGATTTTGTCTCGTCTTGTTTTTTGTACTTGGACGACGACGTCGACTACTACTACTACCACCACTACTACTGCTACTGCTACTTTTGCGACCACAGCTGCGCAGTCATCTGCGTCATTGCGATAGTTTCTATAACGTAAGGATCGTTTGTAGTAGTCCCTGAGACGACATATTCTTTTGCGCACGTAAAGGGTGGCTAATTCGGGGGTGGCTTAGGAACTCTTGCCTACCTGGACCCATGGGGTAAACAATGGCAAGCACTTGAAGCGGTTTTGCATGGTTGGGTGTCTATGCAGTCGCATCCTAGACCCTAAACCCCAAACACCATATGGAACTGGCGGGCTTCCAAACAAAGGGTTTAGGGTGTAGGGTTTCGGGCGCTTAGAATGATGCTTGAGATGATGACGTCATTGTGGTTGCCGCAGGTGCACTGTATCGTTCTTGCTTCAAGCCTGCTCAGAAGCCGTCTCTTTCGGGGCTCCATTTTATAACTACACGAATAGACCCCCCTCAGCCCTACCCAAATAATGATAATTAAGCGCCCCATACTAAACTTTTAAACCCTAAACCCTAAACCCCTAAACCCTAAACCCTAAGCCCTAAACCCTAAACCCCTAAAACCCCCCGTTGCTGCCTCCATAGTCTGATCTTGGCAGGCATGTTGTCTACACGGATCCGGCCGTGGGCCTTACTGCCGACAAAGTAGCGGCAGCACTGGTACGCTGGCGGGAGCGAAGAGGGTGATAAGGGCTCAGGTTTAGGGTTTTATGGTCTTGGGGTTGGGGGTTCCTGAAGCTTTGGGTTTGGGGGTTCCTGAAGTTTTGGTAAGTCCGTGTGGGTTATGTCGGGAACGTGCTGTCGCTGAAGCCTCTTTAGTTATCCGGAAGGTCCTGAACCAGAGACATTCCCTAAACCCTAAACCCTAGACCCCTAACCCAAATCGCTCGGGCTCAGGGCGTTTTGGCTCAAGTGCCCAACCGACAAGGACGATTGGGAGTAGTGACTCGCGGGGAGACATGTCTGCAAATGTTCCAGTGCCTCTTCCGCGGAAATGAACGACAGGGAACAGGAACATGGTTCAACTGTCTTGCACCAGACGGAAATCTTTCGGGAACATAACCATCACCCCCTCCCCCGTGCGCCCATGGACAATAATCAAACGGAAATGGAAAATGGTTTCATTAATTTGCGCGAAAAAATCCCGTGACCCCCGTCCCCCCTCCCGTCCCCCTGGCTACCCCCTGAAATGGAAATGGAAAATATTTTGTTTTTTGTAACTTATTTTTGCACTAAAGGAGAAAATGGAAAATGGTTCCATTGTGTCGCATCAGAAGAACCCCCCTCCGGGGAAAATAATGAGCTGGAAATGGAAAGCAGATTCGTTATTTTGCTGCTAGCAAAAATAAAATGGTAACATAATAAAGCAAGATAAAAATAAAATATCAACAAAAATACTAGTATTGATACGATTACTAGTTATTTTATAATACTACTAGCAGTTTACAAATAATGATAATGATAATAATATCGGCTGCCGGTTCCGCTTTTGCGTGGGTTCTGCCCTTTCGACGGTTCTGCCCCTTGGCGGGCTCAGTCCCTTCGCTGCTGCCCTTTGCACACGGCTTCCGGGCCCTGCCCTCGTGGGTTCCCCCTTCGCGGGTTTTGCGCCCTCGTTGGTTTTGCCCCCTCGCGGGTGCTGCCCCTTCGCAGGTTTTGCCCCTCTGCGGCTTCCGTCCCTTCGCGGGTTTGCTCCATTGCGGATTCTGCCCTTCGCGGGTTGTTGCCCCCTTCGCGGGTTTTGCTCCTTTGCGGGTTTCGCCCGTTTAATCGCTAAGCAGAATGAGCAACGCGGACTTTACGACCGTCCCTGCCTCGTTGGGCCTACACAGGTGAAACAGTTCCGAACCATGCACATGCCGGCGACGGCCTCCACGCTTGTTACCGACTGTTTCAACCATATGGACACTGGCCACACATGTTCGTGACTCTGTAGCGCTCAGTGATCAGCACTGTCCTGATCACCATCCCGTTCTGTTTCGATTCCCGTTCAAAAAAACCCTAAACCCTAAACTCTAAACCCTAAAGCGCTCTTGAGCAAGACCGTAAACCCCAACCCAAATCCTGATTCTAAAGTATGAGACGGTCCTCAACCCTGGGAATCCGTCCTCGGCAACAACCAGCCCTTGAGCGACTTCTTCGATACTTGGGGGATCATGGGATTGAGGAAGTGGAAGCCAGGGTTTTTAGCACCTTAATTGGGGCTATACATATTTATAGCTATAGTTGCCTTATTTATAGGCCTGGTGACTAAGTCCCAATCAGCACTACTGTAGTGTTTTCTTGTAGTCCTAGTCCCCATATAATGATAACTTGATAATCCAAAACCCTACTGTTTCAGAAACCCTACTTTAATCATAAATGGCTACTATGTTGGCTCAGCCCCGTTCTCTCCATTGAAATCTAGGTGTGTAAGGTTTCACAGGTGCTTAGACGGAACGACTTAGGGTTGAAAATAAGGTGGTTGTAGGTCTGGTTCCTAGCAGCCCTAGTTGAGGCACTCACAACCCCATTTGTGCCTACCCATGAACCTTTGAGCAAAGCTTAAACACCTCAAGCCCATGATTTTAAAGGCCAAGACCTGCCCCATCAAGACCCTAAGCCCCACGCAAACAAGCTAAGCCGCACGCAAACCTTAGATCAAAGTCAGCAAGACGCGCAAGTTCTGAACCCCGAAACCCGAAGCCCTTATGGAACCGTTTACCTTCCTTGGAACCTTCTAAGGACCCTTATGAAACCCTTGAAACCCTGAAAGCATTAGCAACCCTTATGAGACCCTTGACTTAACTCCCAGGAGACCGTTGTCTGGAATCCGAAATGTCCTGGCTTTTATGTAAGTCTATGATTTTAGTACATATATATATATATATAACACGCATATGACTGAACAAAACATAGCCAAATATATTCTCAAAAAACATCCGAGGTCGCCTTCCGCCAAGGGCCTCCCGCGCCAGTCGTCGCGCGCTGGGAGGAGCAGACCGCCAAAAGGCGTCCTTTTTTTTGCTTGTCACAGATGGCTTCGTATCATGATGGCTCAACTTCTTACTTTATGGTTTTCGTGATGTTTATCATGATAAGCTCCATGTGAAGACTCATGTGTGTTGTTTCGTTTTAGCCGTTTTCTTGTGTTTTGCTATTTCGTATATTGCTCTAGGCTCTATCAGTTCTGAAGTTGGTTTGATTCAAGGTTTAGGGTGGTGCAGGGTTCAAGCCTGTTGGAGTTTAGGTTTCTTCAAGGTGTAGGGTTTTCTAGATTTGGGGGCTCAATCGAAATTATGGGTTCAGGGAACATATACCACGGTGTGCTCGGCAAGGGGTAGGAAAATTGGCTTTGACAGATTTTGGAGTGACTCTAGTTAGTTTGCGAACTGTTTTTTGTTGCGGGGTTCATCCGCTTGTTAAGGCCTTTTTCGGTTTTCTAGGGATCTATTGCCTACATATTTGGGAATTACTTGGAGTTTGGGTGAAGACGTCAGCGTTCCTTGGTTGTGTACTGGGTCCTTGTTCAGACTACTGCTTACGTCATCAGTGACTAATACTATATGTGCCCATCTTAAGGTTTAAGCCTGTAGAGCCTGAACAAGGACGCAATACAGCGTTTAGGGCTTAGGGTTTATTGGGGTGTAGGTTTAGGGTTTACGGGTTTAGGGGTTTAGGGCTAGGGGTTAGCAACCCTAAACCCTAAACCCTAAACCCGAAATGGATGGGATACTCGGGTTTTAAGTCTGCGCAGCCGAAAGCCCAGGATTCCACAGGATTCGAAACAGGGAAGCCTTAAAACCAAGAGACTCTCTGGGGTTAGGGTTTAGGGTTCGGTTTAGGGTTTGGGGTTCGGTTTAGGGTTTAGGGTTTAGGGTAGACACTATCTGAATCCATGGTGGTAGGCCTTCGAGGGGTTCCGTTTCTGGGATTCTTTGAGGGTTTGGGCTTGTGGATTTCGCAGAGCCAGAATCGATGATATCTTTGATCATGCTCCTGATTGTTGGAATTGGGCCCTAAACCCTAAACCGTAAACCCTAAACCCAGACTTTTGGATGGGATACTCGGGTTTTAAGTCTGCGCAACCGAAAGCCCAGGATTCCAAAGGATTCGAAACAGGGGAAAGCCTTATAACCAAGAGACTCTCTGTGGTTAGGGTTTGCAGGCAGCGAGGTAGTCTGGTGGTAGCCGGAAGTGCCCAAGCTGACTGGTAACGAACAGAGGCTCCGATGCTATGGCACGGCAAGCGGTGCTAACGTGACGGACAACTCCTTTTCCTCAACCAGAATGCTGCGTGTTCAAGCACTCTGCTGACTTGTGAGGAGCAGCTCCAGTGATTTCACTGGCATGCCCCCCTCCCCCGTAACTAGCTGAGATCAGGAACAGTTTTCGCTAACCCCTGACTCCTCCTTGCCAGTGGCCTGAAGTGGTGTGAGCCCTTCCGTCTTCCTCTTTCTTGCCGACCTCATAGACTCGTCTTCGACTATGCGCCATTGGTGTTGCATCCGATAATACATCTCCAATTCTTTGTGATCCTCTGCCTTGGTGAGTCCATTGGCCAGCTGGGCTTCTGAGTGCACCCATCGTATAACCACACCCGTAGAGCTTTGCGACTCCTTGATGCCGAGCAGCTCGATGTTGCTTCGCTTCTCTGCGCCATTGATGCTGAGCATGGCTGTTGTTAACTTATCGTACACGTTCCTTGAGTCCGTGATTACGCAACCTGGCACCTTGGCTACGACCTCGTCAGGATTCCTCAAGTTCACCTTGCCATACAACATCTCACTCCATTGGTAACGCACGTAGTAGAGGGCGTCCTCGCCGTTAACCGCTGCGCATGATTCGGCAGCTCCTGGACTTCGGCACGAACGATCGATCCTTGTAGAATGCCAGCTTATGGGACTAATAGGACACACCTCTCCTTTCAACAAACTTTCCGAAGACGCACCTATAAAAATGCCCTGAGTACTCCCTCCATCAATGCGATTCCGGTCTGAAGCATCAACCCAGGCATAGAAGTGTACTTCGCCCTGTTGTTTCGTGGTCGGCCTGGCATGCTCCTTGCGCTGCTTCACGTGGTCAAGCAATTGATTGGCCTTCACCAACGTATCCACAGTTGACTTGTTAACTTCCGACAACAGAAGTCCTACATTTGCTGAGACGTGAGGAGCAACTTGTTGCGCATGCCAACTCAGACCTCCTAATAAGGCTCGAAGTTTCGTCTTTTCATATTCCGTGGTTGGGGCTTTCCTTGCTCGCTTCCGAGAGGCACTCAGGTTGATCATCTCGATGTTGTCTACATACTTCGGCTGAGACAATCTGAAGCCTTGTTCACAGGTTTCCACTTGAACTCCACATTGCACGAAGGAATCCTTGTCCCAATCACCCCAGCGGAAACGTTCCTGAATCTGCTTCAGTAATTCTTGCCATCCAACATCATCTTCCCTGCCTCCGAACATAAAATCATCCACATGACCTGAAATCATACCCCGAACCTGGCCATCCTTTCGCCACACCCAAGCACATGAATCGGACCACAGTCTTTCGAGACCTATGCTTTCGAGAAACTCCGCCACTGTCTTATACCACTCTAGAGGAGCATCTACTAGTCCGTAGCACGCACGTCGAAGTCGAGTCACTGATCCCGGTGCTATGTTCATGGCCTCGCAGATCTCATCGCACGGTATGCAATACAACTCGGAAGGATATTCCCTCCCTTGTAAGAACGCGCCGCTCACGTCACCTTTTAGCAGCCGCCATCCTTTGTTTGCTGAAAGTTGCAACATCAACTGTCTTGTCTGGCGGGTCATGACTGGAGCTGTTGTTGCTCTGTGTTCATATCCGGGGTCTTGGTACCCCAATAGCACTGCTCTGGCCTTTGGCTTGACTCCTCCATCTTCTCGAACCTTCCAAGTAAGTATCCATCTCATACCCACTGCTTGATCTCGGCTTGGCTTAAGCTTGTCTGGCAATGCCTCAAAGGCCTTTGCGGCTATGAAGTTTTTGACTTCCACGCTTTTAGCTGCTTGGAACCTGGCCTTGTCCTCAGGTGAGAGGCGCTTTTCGCTCACTTCCACTGCCTTGCGCTTGAATGCTCCCACGAAGTAGCTATGCAGGTCCCTGGTAGCCAAGTCCACGCCTCGACGACTGTCGGGCATGGGGATCTCAACTGCCACAGCTGATGACTCTTCTGCCCAGTAGCATGCATGCTCCGCCAGCCATGCTGCCTGAGGAACATCCTCCCACCAGCACTGTTTGTCCACATGCAGGTCCCAGTCTGGTTCCCGTGTACCTTTCCTCCTGATGACGCTGGGCTGGCTGGTTCCCGTTGCTTCCTCCACATCCATCTCCTGATCCTCGGCATGGATTGCTGAGGCAGGCCGTTTGGTGGTGATCCGATGCCGCACAGGTGGCACCTCCTGCTCTGGGTCTTGCGCTCTCTGCCACTCTCCAGGTGAGGGAACCTCTGCACTGATGTCCTCATACTGGTTGCCACCCACCTACCTCTTCGGCCAAACGAGTGAACGTCCACGGGGTCGGTTGTGTCTCAGACAGTGCTTCTACTAGTTCCTCGCGCTGGCTCGCTGGTCGTAGTTGTTCCGGACTGCATTTTATCAGGCTTCTGCCGCGGACACACCACACTGCATGTCCAGGTCTGCGGTTGCCATCGTCGTCAGCTCTTGTCTCTGTGGCTAACACTCGTGCTGGACCCAGAAAACGCCCTTGGTTAGTGCCCGGCTGTCTCTTACTCTTGTTGGATTCTTGCGTCCTCCAGAAATATACCAGATCTCCCGGTTGATATTGACTGGAGGGTCTTGCCCTGGAGTTCATGGCTCGCCGAATGCGCTGTTCTGACATCCATTCTGCCAGGGCTTTCTCTGCTTCGGCCCGCAACCGAGTGGTCCGAGCGAACTCGGCAGGTGAGTCGTTCAGAATAGGCTCGTCGAGGGCCCGACTGGTCACGTCCACATGACTCCCTGTCACATCAGGGCTGTGTCCCAGAACGTGTTGTGTCGGGGAGAAACCTCGAATCATCTCCCTCTGGTTGAACACAGTGACTGCTAAGCTGAGCATCTCCTCTGGACTGGCCTCCTGGTCTGTCTGGCTCATCTTGGCCAAGAGTTGTTTAATCCCTTGGATCGCCTGTTCTGCGACCCCAATCTGCCAGTGTGCTTCCCCAGGAATGATGTCTAGATAGATGCCATTGCGATCACAGAAACTTTCTACTGACATTGCTCGAAAACTACCAGCCGGGTCGAGCCTCAACGCCTTGGGCTTCCCGAAGGTCTGAATCCAGCCTTCCATCAGGAAGTTAAGGCAGCTTGCGGCATTGGGTGCTTGAGCTCTTCCTTTAGTGAGGATCTTAGCCATGCGGAATCGGGATCCTTCATCCACTATAACCATGAAGTTCTGTTGTTCTTGGGTCGCCGGGTGCGTCCAGTGTCCTATGTCACAAGTCACCGTGTGGAACTTAGGGGGCAAGGGTTCCAAAGACGCGACCTGCCTCGGTTGGATCTTTCGTTTCTCTTCACAAACAATACACCTAAAGGTCTTCGCGAGTTCCAACACTTTTGGGCTGGCGTTCCTACGCTTCAGGGCCTCCACCATGTGTCTTATACTACCATGTCCAGTAGCAGCATGAAGTAAGTACAGCTTGCGCTTGATGGCCTCCTCCTGTTTGTTGTTCTGGCTTTTAAGGGGGCCACTCCATGGTTTCTTGCTACTATGAGTCACATGGGCAGAGTCTTTGAGGTCTTTGGGAGGTCCCGGAAACCCTAGCTGTCGCAGATGGGCCTTGATTCCTTCATCAACACATTTCCAACCTCGGCTACTGTACGCGCTCAGAATCATTCTGTTACCCTTCCACGGTTGTGTCCCATGCCACTGTCGCCCTGAAAACTCCATCACCTTCTGAAACACATCCAGCTTCTTTCCCTGAACCCAATGGCCTTTCAACAACCTCTTACCTTCAACGCCTTCAGCCTCTTCGTTGCCGGAGTGTTCCACCCACAACTCTCCTCCCTGGTACTGTCCTAAGCCTATCACGTAGTTAGAAGTTCCCGGAAGATTGTGCACATCCTTGTGAATGTCCAAGTGACAGTTGTCGTTGATCACCAGGGAGGTGCACTTGAGGGGATTGGGGCTCCAATGTTCGAGGTACTTCAGCAAATAACGACACGTCTTAGGCATGGCTTGGCTTTGTTTGGTCACTCCATAGTGATTACCATGTGAGTACAAGCCAAAAACAATGTACCGGGGCCTCTGGTCTCGGAGTGGAGCTCTGTGCTGCTTGGAATTCTTGTAGGGAAGTTGCTTGAGGAGGGCTTCACAGGTTTCGTGGCTGAAGTCTTGGTTCTCCAAAAGGGCTTGGGCCTGGGTCTCAAGACTGAGGTTTCCTAACCACTCATGTGTGTTATCTTCCGAAGGATCCGCCACTGAGTTTCCGAAGCACTCCAAACCTTCTTCCGAAGCTTCCTCTTCCGAATCCTTCCCTTGCGTGACCTCAAGGCCTTGTTCCGTCCTCACATCAACTCTACCTCTCAAACAACTCGCACAAGCCACCGGAACCTTCATCCCTGAAGCCTCCCCACAGGTGCAAAACTCTCCTTCCCCGAAGCCCTCTAAAAGCTGCGAAATGCCTGCGCACTCCTGGAGTGTGCCCTGGTGTGTCAGCTCTTGCCGAAGTAGCCTAGTCGCCCTACGACTGTACTCCGGGGTGTATCGGTGGAGACCGGTGTGAGTCTTGCCCTGACATGTGCCGTGCTTGTATTGTTTGCCGCACCTACAAGGAAGGTTCATATCTTGAGCCAGGCGCTTACATGTAGTGAGGATCCGCCAACCTTTCTGCACTAACTGCTGATTGTGTACATCACGAAGATTGACCGCACATCCCTTGGTCACTGCCGAAAACATGTTGTACTTTGAAAGAAGCTGCTGACAAACGGGAAGCCTCCAGGCCTGATTACGCTCAGCCAATTCCACCGTGACATGAATGCCGCTTTGAACGCACAAACCTACGACGCACATGACTCCTACCAACACTCTCAGATCTTCTTGTCTCTGCTTGAGGACTTGGGCCTTCTGCTGTTCATCCTTCATGTTCATGTTTTGATACGGACAACACCCTTTACATG